TATTATGCGCCTAATAGTTACGAGAAAAATTTTATAAAGTTGTAATTTTAAAATTCACATGTTATTCTTATTGAGAATAAATCAACTGTTGTAGTTTACTTGTTTATGAACTAATTTTGATCAAATTTGGAAAAAAACATTAATTTCTTACTAAACTACAGTACCTTTTAACATTTTACATAAAAAACACAATTTTTTACCCTTCCTTGTTTCAGCAAACCTACTCGTTAAACTAATTCTATTTAAATAGGGAATAAATGTGATATTGTTAAGGAGACATTTTAGTGTAAGTTCAATCGGGCAAATGGAAATTCGCTAAGTCTGCAGGCTTGCCGTGGCGGGGGTATTTTATTGTTAGTTCTGTACGTCCAACTGTAGAGGTTATGTTTTGTTTACATTTTGTTTCTTGTTATTTCAGTAATTTAAACCTCAGTAATTTGTTACCTCATTTAACCAAATAAAACGATTTAATCATAAACAATAACTGGTCTTCTAGTTATATTCAGTGTTGGGGAAGCTACTTTTAAAATGTAGCTAGCTACAACTACTGCTACATTTCCAAAAAAGTAGCTTAGCTACAGCTACAGCTACAGTTCCGAAAAAGTAGCTAGCTACAACTACAACTACAATGAAATGTAGCTACAGCTACAATTTTAGCTACTTTTCCAAAGACGTTAATTTTTATTCCACGCACATTAGGTAAATGTAAAATTAATTGCAACTACATTTTAATTGAACAAACATTAAAAAAAGTCAGTATTGTATCTAACATTACTTGGAAAACAAATTATTCCTCGATTGTATTTAATTTGTTGGCATTATAAACCTAACATTACAAGAACAGAACCAAATAGTTGGGTGTCCCATCATATTTAGTAATTATTTTTAAATATTGCATTATTTTTAAGCATCTTAAAATGTAATTTTCATTAAGTTCAAAGGACATACAACCAAACTATATTTTAAAAGCTAATTTTATTAATTTAATATAGATTCATTTAAAGATGTTTTATATCAACAATTAAGACCAATAAAACTGCAAAAAGATTATTTAAAAATACTTTTTGTGTTACAGAGCCTAGCCTACTGAAATTGGAGTTTATTGCCTTTCTTTACTTTTAATGTTAAAAACAACATTGCTATAGATTTTAAAGTGATAAATTACTTATTCTACGAATAACACTTTTCAATGTCAAGAAATCGTCCTTTATTGTCATTATGCATAGGGCAAATTGTGCTTCAACCTAGTTGGTAGAGAAAACAGTATTCAGCAACTTATCCTGAAATCGGCTTTTAATTTAAACATGATGAAATTTGTAAAGTAAAAATAACATGTAGGCCTACTTGGCTATGTAACAAGTTGGCTTATCTTTTCAAGATCTTTTCAAGATATATTCATAATAATTGAACTTGGTATTCGTCTTAAACCATAGCCTCAGTCCTATACAAGAGCTGTTAGCAGGAGCAAACTATGCTATTTTTTCAATGTAAGTTTCATGTTATACGGAGATTTTTTCATTACAATTATCATGTAGTCTAGGCATATCTTATATCTCATAAGGTAATTTCCTCTTTGCTAATTTAGTAAACCTTTGAAAAATCTTCGTAATCTAAACAAGGAAGGGCTTGTGATGATAAACCACAATCAACAGCTGAAGCAAAGGTTGATAGACCAGCTTTCTCATTATTTCAAGGTGTGTTGGTTTCCATTAAACCCCAAGTTGAAGCATTATCGATATAATAAAGAAACTAAATTGATTACTAATTCCCCTGTCCTGTCAATCACTTGCAAGCATTCAATTCAATAGCTTCTCTTGTCACAGGTACCGTTTAAACGTCGTCTGCATCTAGCGATTTTATTTTATCTGACAGTAATCATAGAGTAGTAAATTAAGGAAATGAGAGCCAAAAATGTGGATAACACTCATTTAATGGCCTCTATGTCCACACAACGTTGCAATAGGGAATGAAATGGCTGCAACTAGCTGTTTGAAGTCAAGAAAGGGAATTTTTTTGAAAATCTCAGTTTGAAAGAGGTTGTTTCACGCAAGGTTGAGGTTATGATAAAAATCACTATCTCAAACAAATGTTAATGTAGCGAGAAAAGTAGCTAAAAATCCGCTACAACTACTTTAAAAATGTAGCTAGCTACAGCTAAAGCTACAAAATCTTAAAAGTAGCGTAGCTACAGCTAACGCTACAAAAAAAGTAGCGCGCTACTGTAGCGTCGCTACTTGTAGCGCGCTACTTCCCAACACTGGTTATATTACCATATAGTAAAGCACAAATCATGAAAATAACCCTAAAATAATAGAAACACAATGTTGTCTACCCCAGCGATCAGTGTGGACGTACATGAACTAGACACGAAAACAAAGCTACAATATTTACAATGGGATGAGGAGTCTACTTGTTTTGCTTAGTCTATGTTGCAACTCAGTGGCAGTTCCGTGCTTTTATTTATTAATTCTGCATGGAGAGGTTCCGTCGTGATTATCTGTATGGATAAACACCATTAAACAGATAATTATTCTAACTAATCTGTAGGGATGAAAATTAACCTCAAAATTCGTGTAACTGAGCAGTCAGACATGTTCTTGTTCGGCAAGCCGCTTGTTTTCGGGTGGGCCTGCGAGGACTGTTTTCCACAGCAGTACGAACTCTGTCGAATGTTCGTTGTCTGGCATCCGATCTGACTTTGGTCGGCCTTTCAGCTTCCTTTTCAACGCAGAAGCCGTTGTTCTAAAGTTAGTAACACACCGCATTATTGTTATACGCAACGGAACATCTCCATGTCGCCTTAATTGAAAGAATGCACGAAACTGCTTATGCTGCTGAGTTGCAATGAATGAATTCAATACTTTTTAAAAACGACTCCCTAACAACCGCACGTAGCTCAGGCGACCACTGCTCTATGACTAGAAAAAATGGCATTGTGTAGGCTTTCCAACGAGCATACTCACACCACTTTCAGACAAACTGTCGCTGAACAGTGCTCTGCAGAAAATGGTTCGGTTTTTTGCCGCACCCTGTACTGTATAACACTATGACTATATTCAATATTGAATACAACACTATATTGGATATAAAACGCTTAATAGTGTTGTATATTCAATGCTAACTCGTAATGATTGTCATTCGAAAGTCTTTGGGAAATTACAAGAAAACATATGATTTGGTTAAATAAAACACGTTCAGCTTGCACGTGACGTCACTATCCACACACCTTGTGAAAAAGGCCATTGGTGGAGAGGGGGAACGTACCCTCCCTCTCCGTTACCTCCCCTACATGCGCTAAAAATTTCGCGCAGGTCGTTTTCTAAACGGCTGACCTATAGTACAGTACTAGATATGAACAAAATTAGTTTGTGGCCTTATTTTGGTAATTTTTATTATAAATTACCAATCTAAATCGTCTATAGTACTTCATTTCATATAGCAAGCCGATTCATATAGAATTTCGACAGCATTTCGGGTCATCTTCGGTCCAAGCAAATATAAATTGTTATGATAAAATTTTATAACATTAACAAAGATTTCAAATACTAATTTTATATGTAGGCCTACTTTGTTATGCTTAAAGCGTAGCAAAGCCCCTAATTAAGTTCTGTATTTTTGTGTGTATGTCTGTTGGTAATGCATTAAATAGGAAATAAATGTTATATTTTTAAGTAGATATTTTAGTGTAAATCCAATCAGGCAAATGGAAATTCGCTTAGTCTGCAGGTTTGCTGCGGCGGGGGTATTATAGTAAATGCATTAATGGTAGGAAGGTCCAAAATGTGATTGAAGTGCAAAGACTGTAAGCGGTGTTCATTGTGATATCTATCACGGAGGAGATTATATGCAACCAAATAATTAGCTTCAGTAAGATTCAAACTCTTGACTAAGTCGAGGGGTTCTCCGCTAAGTACACTTAAGAGGTACTGAAATTTCATGGCACTGGAAAGCGACGCGTTGTGGTGTATTGCAGTATCAAACAAATTTATAAAACTTTTCCAAGTTAGTAGGTCACCGGAGGATTTTTTGTAAATCTAATTTTGGTAGGCGTACTGCTTGTGAAACAGGAGTTTGGAGAAGAGAAATGGAAGAAGAGTCGCTTAAGATAGCAGAATTTGAAGGTTTAGGAGGGGGCATTAAAAACTCAATAATAGCCTCAATATGAGAAAATAAACTTTCAATTTCATCCAGGTCTTGAGACAATGTCTCGTCAGAGATATGATCCTCTTCCAAGGCTAAAACCCGTTGCAGATTATTGTTGAATTCTTCTTTTCTTTTATGAATTTCATTTAAGTGAGCATTAAGTTGTTTAATTTGAATATGGGCCTAACGGTTATGGAGAAAATTCAAAAACACTACAAATTTAAAATTTCCCAGTTATTTTTTGTGAGAATTATTAAACAGTTGTAGTTTGATTATTTATGGATGAATTTTGATCCAATTTAATGTGTTAATACTAAGCTGTCGACATTTCAATAAAAAAACACTCCTCATTACCTTCCCTGTAGCAGCAAACCTACGTACTCATTAAAATTAAAGTTATTTTAGAAAAGGAAATAAAACTGACAATTTTAAGGGAAATCGCAGCCAGGTAAACGGAAATTCGCTTAGTCTGCGGCAGGGGTATTTTAGTGTAATAAGTACAGAGTGTATAAGGTAAGCCCATCCCAGAGAAGGAGTCTTCAATATCTGGTAAATCAGTGAACAGTAAAGAGGCAAACCACCAAAAACTTACTCATTATTAACAATGAAGGAATTAGATTGACCGGCTGTTTGAGCATATGCTGATTTAGCTATTAAGATATCAAGAAATTAAAAGATCAATGTTTAGTGGGATTCCTGTATTGGTGTTTGGTGATTTTAGACAATTGTAGCCTACTGTACATATTTTATAGACACAATATTTTAATGCAAAAATGCATCAAATTCATGGTATTTAGTGAAACAACAGCAAACGTGAGAGCTAATAAGTTTTATTTTTAGTTTCAAATTTATGTTACCTGCTGCTGTATGTTTTATCTGAGTAGTCATCATTTCAGAATTTATTCGCATCTTAGATCCAATGTCAGATGCTCTATTGGCTCTTTTTGACCCAAATTGCTTTAACAGTTTATTCCTATTGTCCTCATATGTTGTTTCTATTTCATCGTTGTCATAATTTGATTGTAAAGTTGGCTTGCTCAGAGCTTTCTGTAACTGGCACTCAATCAGATCCACCAACTGTACCTAAAACATCACCTTGTTGTATTATCTGTATGTTAGCGAATTTCCTATAGGCTATAGGGAATAAGCTATTACCGTCTAGGTCTCATGGTAAGACCTGGATCCGAGACCGATTTACTTTTTTGTTTTGAGGTGCCCAGAGGCCAAAAACACCATCCGTTCAAATTCATATATATATATTATATATGTATTATATATATATACATATACAAATGCATTATTAAAAACTAAGTACCCTTTTTGAAACTCATTTTATTAAACAACGACTAGTTTCGACAATAATGCCATAGTCATGTTGTTTTTATCTAACAAATACAATAAATATTTTATCTAAATAAATAAATAAAATCATATGATTTCATAGGTTTTGATGGCTTTAGATTTCTTCTGTTTTAAATGGTTTTTATACTACAGTTGGCTCTCGATAGTCCGACACTTAACAGTCCGACACGCTTGGTAGTCCGACGCTGCTGCAAACTACAGTACAGCTGTACATGAGTCATCGGGGTCATAGGTCTAGACTGACATCGGTCTAGGCGTCTCACGTGTTTCCGGTAGCTGGTTGCAGTGTTCAGTAGCGAAGTGACTCGTGCATACGTACTGTACTTTTGGTGATCAAGTGACAGTTTACCTTCAGTGTTTTAGTGTTAGAGTTTTGTTAAGTGTTGTGTGATGGCAAGCACAAGTGAAACCAATAAACGTAAGCATAAAACATTAACTCTTCCCGAAAAATGGGAAATTATTAAGAGGTATGACCGTGGTGAAACTCCCACGGCTATTTCTAAGGTTTATGACATCGGGCGACCTACCGTTTATGACATTGTGAAAAATAGAGAAAAAATAGAACATTTTATAAAATGTGTTGAAGACGATTCTAAGAGAAAAACACTTAAAATGAGCAAATATCCCCAAGTTGAGGAAGCTCTTTATGCGCGGTTTAAACAGCAAAGAAACAGACATGCCCCGATTTCTGGGGATATTTTAAAAGAGAAAGCACGGTTTTTTTATCGTGATATCAACAAAAAAGATGATTTTCGTGCCAGCGATGGCTGGTTTGAAAATTTCAAAAAGCGACACGGTATTTGTTTCTTACAGATGAGTGGAGAGAAACTATCTGCCGATGAGACAGAAATTTCTAACTTTATTGAGACCCTTCAAGCTAAAATCACTGAACTAGGCCTTACGCCTGAACAAGTTTGCAATGCCGAGGAAACCGGCCTAAATTGGCGGCAACTTCCAACAAAAACATTTGTAACAGGGGATGAAAAAAAGGTTTCTGGAAGAAAACTTCAAAAAGAAAGAATTACATTAATGGTGTGTTTGAATGGCGCTGGGAATCATATGTTAAAACTGCTAGCTGTGGGTAAAAGTAAGAACCCCTGGGCATTTAAGAACATCAATATGGATTCCCTTCCAGTTGTTTATATGAATCAAAGCCGAGCCTGGGTAACTCAAGACGTTTTCAATGACTGGTTTTTCAACCATTTTGTCCCAGAGGTAAAACAACACTTAAAGAGTAAAAAAGTCTGCCTATAAAGGCTCTTTTACTGTTAGATAATGCTCCCGGACATCCGGACATGGAGGGATTGAAAGTGAAGACAACTGGTGGTTACATAGAGGCCATGTATTTGCCAAAAAATACAACTGCTCTGATTCAACCCATGGATCAAAATGTTATCAAGACAATGAAGGCACATTATAAGAATCGCCTACTTATGGATATCGTCTGCCAACCTGACGCAGACATCACATCACTTTTGAAAAAATGTTACATCAAGGATGCCATTTTAAATGCAGCATTTGCATGGCAACAAGTCAAACCTGAAACTCTAATTAAGTCATGGAAAAATGTTTGGCCAGAAAACCCACTCCTCCAAAAGAAAGACGATGGAAATGACAAAGGTCAAGATGACAACGGAGTTGTGGAGGATACACTAACACTTTGCGATGATATTAACGTTTCACAAGAATCTTCAGAAGACCTAAGAAGATGGGTATTAGACGACAACCTGTGTGCTGACCTAACAGATGAAGATATAATACAGGAAGTCACATCTAATGAACAAGACGACACAATTGAGGAGGCCGTGGAGGCAAAATACACGATCAGCTATGACGAAGCTATGTTGGCTGCAAACACTTTGATTCGCTGGTGTGAAGAGCGTGGACTTGATTTGAACAACGTGTTAATGTTGAGACACATTCAAGAAAATACAATGACAGACTGTTTGCGTAAAAAGAAACAAAAGACTATCACAGATTTTTTCAACCCGTAAATGTGTAGGCCTACACCATAGTTACAGTACAGTAATTACTGTACAGTATTGTACTGTATTTAGAAAAAACGGAGCACTACATTGTATTTTAGTTTTGATTTACTGTATACTGTTCTGTTTTTTGTATTTTTATATGCAATAAATCTTTCTTTTTTGTAATATTTAATGCCTAAATTGATTATTTTATACCCATAACAGTAAAATAGCACGTGATATGTATTAAAAACTGGTTTTTCTTAACGTATGCAGTTAAATTCAGTGAAATAAAGCTAACCGTTGGTAATCCGACGTTTTTGGTAATCCGACACCCCCCCGGTCCCGTAACTGTCGGATTATCGAGAGCCAACTGTATTTACAAGTTGTTACCCAGGGGCTTCACCCCGTTTGATTTTGGAAAAAAGAAAGGCTATAATTTTTTTCATAAATTGGATTGGATTTGTTGATGTTCATTGTGTTCAGTAAATTATCTGGGTGTTAGTAAAATGTAGTGTTAGATATAAAAACCTTAGTATTAACATGACTATGGTATAATTGTTGAAACTAGTCGTTGTTTCATAAAATGAGTTACAAGCTACACGCCCGGCTTTTTTACACGCAGCTAGTAAAATAGCTCAGTGTGAACGACGTACTCGCTCAAAAGCTGCTTGTAAAAAAGCTATGGAAAAAGTTGACGCTGCCGCTACTTTACACGCCAACTTTTGAGCGAGTAGGCGTGTAAAGTAGCCCAGTGTGAACACAGTTGCTTGTGCTTGTGCGCTTGTTACTCAAAGATGTTGGAGGATTTGGTTCAAGCCAGCTACTGAGCGTGTGGAAAAAGCATCGTGTGAACGACTACAAGCGCACTCGCCGACTCGCCGGCGTCTTTCTACACGTCTGCGAGTTGGCGAGTGGACAAGCTCCGTGTGAACGAATACAAGCACACTCGCCAACTCGCCGGCTTCTTACAGGCCGGCGAGTAGCGTGTAAACTTTCCCCGTGTGAACGAGGCTAAAGGGAACTTAGTTTTAGCGAATTTCCCCAATAATATAAGCTATTACTGCAGTACTCATGGTAAGACCTGGACCCGGGACTGATTTACTTTTTCGTTTTGAGGTCCCTAGAGGCCAAAAACACCATCCGTTCAAATTCATATACATATATATGTATATATATACTCGCCTTTGGCTCGCTGGGGGCAGGGTAGTAGATAATTAGCAGTAGGGTAGTTAGTAAGTAACGTTAGCAGATTGAGTCTTTTGTGCAAGGAAATTAGTAAAAAGAAGGGGAATTACGATGCTATAGAAGAAAAATATAGTTTTGTATATTAAAATTTTTTGTATAGAACAATAAATTGTAGTAAACATTCACATATATTAATTAAAAAGTATAAAGTAATATTTGTTTCCCTGCCAGTTAGCCATAAATTGTATGACACATCCAGTTCCGCCACGGGGAGGCCGGGAAACGTAGGAACCATATGTACAAATGTAATATGCCAATCTAGAGAAGGATTTTGATGCCAGCAAGCACATAGCAAAAGCACATAGTAAAGTGGTGAGTCAACAGGCTGGATTACTTTTGAATGTACAATAAACCTGAATCGTCCTGATATGACAGTAAAATCCACTAAGTTTTTTTAAAGCGGCCGATTAAATGAAAGAGAAACTAAGGGTGAAAATAATAAAATACAACAAAGAGGATTCATCATGCAACTGCAGTGGCGGTTCTAAAGAATAGCCCCCCCCCCCCCCAATTGGACCCTGGAATATTAAATTCAGACATATATTTTGTCCTAAAAACGTAAAGGAAATTTTGGGATACAGTTCTAGACATCAAGAATACCTTTCCATAGTCACCAAACGGCTTTAAGCATATTAAATCTTCAAGGGAGGGACCCCTGGACCCCCTCCTTTTGTTATAAGCTGCCCAGTAGCCCTCCCCCTCCTCTAGGTCCTATAAATAATCAGTTCAGTATATAAATAATTCAGTTTCTCAGCTGTTATCCATTAGACCACCAAGGCCGATGGCTACAAACCATATTGTTGCGGTAATAGTGTTCCCTCAGCCAATAGAATGCTCTCATTTTGCCTGTATTAAAAAACTGCAGCTGAAATAAAAATTGTGCTTCCCCCACTCCGCAGTGCCAGGGGACAACATCGTGATGATATAAAAAGCTTTAGACTCCAATGTTTTTAGTAGGCCTAGACACTCATTTTAATTTATAGTCATGTGTTGAATTGTTTGAAATGCAATCAAGTTAGTTTGTTGTTTTGTTTATGTTAAAAACACAAGCTCATTACTTCTGCTAAAATAAATCTCAGATTTTCTCATTAAACTTCATTACCGAAATCGTCTGTGATATTACCAAGAGTAAATCGTGCATTCTAACGATGACGCCGTAAACAAAAACTATTAAAAATATAAAATTAATATTCAATATTCCACTTAACCCTGTCAGTGCTATGCAACGATAGATCATTGTTTTTTTAAATATCTAAGGGATATAGAGAGGAAGATTATTTTAACAAAAAGTCGCATAAAGACCATTGGTGACCAGCATGTTCACAGTAACAATCACTTAGCTAAAAGATTCGCCCAATTCGATGATTCGATGTGTATGTCTAAACCAAGGAATATGAACACCTTACTATGCCCCAGAGGTTATAGTATATTGCTGCAAACACACAGGTCACCATAATTATTTGCCACACAGGACGGGAATCGAACCAGAGCAGACGAATGCTACTGGCTAAGTGACACACGCCCTAGCCTTCTCGGCTATCTGTGCTTGAAGGATGAGGAATCAGAAACCGGTATTTAAGCTGAGCCAACGATTGCAAGCAGATAGCGCTACAGCAGGTTGTTCAATGCGTTAAAGTACGTCCACAATGCACGCTGGTATAAGCAGGAAGTCAGATTCAGATTTTCGGTGACGAGTGTCTGACTCAGATGAGGTAGCCATAATGCAAGCAGGTTGTCAGCCGGACCTGTCTGTGTTGAGACCTATTTAAGGGATACTGTACATTGATACATACATGTTATATACATATTTTATACAGGTTTTATACATATTATTATTTCTTGCAGACGACAACAGGTTTTTTTAATATTTAAGAATGAGCTTGAACACCTTTTTAAAAATGAGCACAAGCTTGCCAAAACTGGGGAAAATATCACAAAACCTTGAAATAGCATGTCCCGTTGAAGTAACTAAATTTATTTCTGTAAGTTAAATTGCTTATTTTGTAAAAATTCAATATTACAAACAATTTTATTCAATCAGCAGATAAATTTAAGGTACAATGTTACAATATTTGTTAAAAATTATGCACTTTGATGCGCTTATTGTTGAACGTTTGATAGCAATTTGTCGATATCTATGGTTAATGTAATGAAAAACTTATACACTCAATACAAAAACAAAAATCAACAGTCCGATATAAGCAGGTTGTCTGAAACCAGAATGAACAATTAATTCCGGTAAAAATCTGAGTCAGACTACCTGCGCGCAGAAAATCGGCGCGCAGATGCACTATGGCCACTTACGTTTACTAGCATGGGATGATAAGCGCGCCGAGTCTGACTTAATCGGCACCGACAGTCTGACTCGGAAAACCAGCGTGCATTGTGGACGTACCCTTACTAGGTAGCAGCACTAGTTCGTCACAGACTATTTAGACGATATTTTTCAGTTGAACAACAATAGTGATCATAAATTGTGTTACTGAGGCTTTGCTGCAAAACATTATTTTCCCTAAAATGGCTATATTACGACACCCTTATCCAACTAAATCAAGGTTAAATTCAATATTAGATTGTAAACTAGATTTCTTTTAATTTTATGAGATTTTGGTTTCAAACAATGCTATCACAACATTACAATTTATAAACAAACTTAGTATACTATAAAACCATAGTGCAACCTGTATTACTATACGACAGAGACTTGGTCTTTCACAAAGAAATCCCAAAAAAAACTTAATACTTTTGAAAATAAAGTATGAAAAGGATTTTTGGACCAATAAAAGATGGAGAGTTGTTGAGAATAAGAAAAAATCAGGGAATTAAGGGGAATTACTAAGGGTATTATTAAGGGAAGTAAGTAAGTTGTAGTTCAACTGAAAAATATCATCTTAATAGTCCAAGACTAACTAGTGCTACCTAGTAATGTATGAAACAACCTGCTGTAGCGCTATCTGTTAGCAATCGTTGGCGTCAGCTTAAATACCCGTTTTTGACTCCTCAGTCTCCAAGCACAGAAAGCCGAGGAGGGTGTGTGTCACTTGGCCAGTGGCATTCGTTTGCTCGGGTTTGATTCCCGTCCTGTGTGGCAAATAATTGGTGACCTGTGTGTTTGTAGCAATATACTACAACCACTGGGGCATAGTGAGGTGTTCATAATCCTTGGTTTAGACATACACCTCGAATCATCAGATTGGGCAAATCTTTTAGCTAAGTGGTTGTTAGTATATCCTGTGAACATGCAGGTCACCAATGGCCGTTTTGCTACGTTTTGTTAAAATAATTTTCATCTCTATATCCCTTAGAGATTTTAGTAAACAACGATATATCATTGCATAGCACTCAAAGGGTTAAGGAAAGGCTGCCCCTATTTGGTCAGATGCTCACATGTAATTTTTCATATATTACAATAGAAAATGTGCGCAGAGAGGTTAGTGTATCGGCGTGAATACCAGCATTGCTCTCAGCTCCACTGTGTTTTGGCACAGCTACCAGTATATTTTTATTTTTAACCAGCTCAGCATCGATCTAGCCTTGCCTATTAATGTTTGTAATATGTATGACACAAATAAGCTATCACTTAAGACTTACTTTATTCTTCTTTTTATTATGAAGCACTAACATTGTTCTGCAAATCTTTGAGTTTAAATTTACTGAGCCTTCAAAAGTGTTTTCATTGCTATTTTCAAGAACAACTTTAAGTTTGGAGTGATCTGATTCATCTTCATACCACAAACATTCACTCTTCTTCAACTCTTCTTCTGGTAATGGCCCACTGTCAAGATTGACTAAGGAACAGAAAAAAAACAGTCAACAAAGTCACACTCACCAATTATATAACTAATTGTAGGATCATGCCAAAATGTAGGAGGTGACAGTCTGGAGGACAACTATTGAATTCACTTTGTTAGCTACATGCGTTGATAACGCCAATCAAAGGTATTTATGTACTTATTTTACTGTACCTTTTTTACTTTCTACTTACTTACTTCTACCTTTTTTACTCTTTCAGCCACAAGAACAATTGAAATCTGTCAAAAATATCATATAACATGGCATTTTATCACTAATAAAACAAACGACCATTTAACAAAGAGATGGAATAAATTTACAGAAACGTACAGTAACCCTGATCTTACTTTATTACAAAACTTATACCTCCAAGGACAAGAACTTACAGGCTTAAGTACAGAGTAAAAACAAATTTTTATTTTAGCCATGAATCTATAGGATAGGTAGTTTTGGATTTTTCTTCCAGGAATTGTTACTGAGGAAGGGGGTAGTTCATAAAATAATTGTATACTAAGATATTTGTAGCTTTTATGTGTCCTTGTACCTGTTGAGGGCCTTAAATGAATCACAGTTAACATTTGGAGTTTTCTGTGATTCGTCCAAGGCTGTGTCAGTCCTTTTGACTATGTCAGTCATGAACTGCTGCTGACCAAATTGAATTTCTGTGGATTTAGGGGCATAGCAGTATGGCACATGAACTATTTGAATCTTATTTCACAAAACGATTCCAAAGAGATAAAGTGTTCGATGAAGACAGAATTGCTCACTTCTCAATTTGGAGGGATGTTCTCTGTGGGTTGCCGCAGGTCTATTTTAGGGCCAGTATTGTTTCCGTTGTTCATTAATGATTTGCCAATCAACATTAACATTCCACTTTATCTTTTTGCAGACAACACAACAGCAATAGTTAAGGGTCAAAACAAACAAATAACAAAAGTAAAGCTTTTAAATACTCTCCACGTAATATCTGATTGGCTTTCCAAAAATTGTCTTTGAATTGCTACAAAACAAAAATCTTAGCTTTCACTTCTAACAATAGAAACACACAAATAAATGAGGAATTCCTCATCCCAAATGTAAAGCTTTGTAAAAATACCCTAGTGGGAACTTTTTAAGAATTAAAGCTAACATCTCAGATATAAAGACAGGTCTTCATGTTTATCATGGTTATTTTTTATCAATTGTTAGGTGGAACATCATCCTTTGGGGTGGAACATCAGTAATTGACAAGATATTTAAATTACAAAAAGAGGCCAGTCCAGCAATATTTAAACTAAAATTAAGAAAATCATGTAAATAACATTTCAAAAATTCTAAATTATTAACTGTACCACCACATTACCTCTTTTATTAATACGTGAGGGGTGTTTTTTGTGAACAAACTAATACGTTATTTCTGGACCGATTTTAACGTTTGAGGTGTTAAATAATTTGTCTCAATTCGTAGTTTTGTATAAAGGTTTTAGAATTTAAAAACTCTTACCCTTAAGGGCACGAGACGCTCTCAAAGGTACCATTTTCCCCATAAGAATTACAGTGAAAACAAATTTTAAAACAAATTTTAAAACAAAAACAGCTGTATATAAAATATTGATGTTTGTAATATTTAGGAGGTTATAGACAAATCTAAACAGTCAATCAATTTTGTTGGAAGAACAGACAATTTCTTGAGTTTAAAAGAGAATATTGAAAACAGGAGGAGGAGACAATTAATAGGAAATCTTATATGTATGAGAAGAGTAGAGGAGAGGCCTGGTCTCATAGTAAGGAATGCAGGTACACAATCACTTGGGGAGATAATTCATTTTTGCCAGTTATGCTAAACAACTTATTAAAAAACCATGAAGAATATACACATCATGTTGTCACAGTGGTAAAGTAAACCTGCCTAAAGTCAGATCAAATAAATACATGCAAGAAATGTTTACTGGTAACAGCTTTAAGTCGGGAAACATTGTAGAAAACATTAAGAAAATAAGGCCGAGTCCAAAATATGCTAAAATATTTTTACAAGAAGCATTTATTATTTCAAAGCGCTATTAAATAGCATGAGTATTTCAATTAGTTACATAAGAATTTAGTCAGGCCTTTTAAACTCATTGAAAATTATGACTGTTACTAGCAGAGTACCCGTCCTTCGTACGGGATTGGCATATAAGTATAAAATGCTTAGGCCTATTGCATTTATAGTCGAAAGCATTGCGTTTGCAATGGGGGAGGACACAGTTTGATAAAATTTCCTTCTTTAAATTTATGGTATACTATAGTATTACACATCTACCTAAGCCATAATATTCTACCACTTCAGCTAAACAATTAGAGAAAAATTAATTATTAAAGATTCGCAAAATATCACAAATTATTCATGAAATAAAAAAAAAATAAATATAAGTGTAAACAATCCAACTTTGACAGTTCTCATTACGTATCACGGTTTTTTGTTGCTGCTTGGTTCAAATTAGCTGTTTTCATAAATAAAAAAATTATAGTGCTGCACCCTGTTGATAAATCTTATAACTTTTACTTTCAATGCTTTTGCATATCATAGAACCAACTTTTTTTAGTTGAAACAGGTGACTAAATTCCTTAATTCCCTTTAAATATGAATACTCATAAGGTTAACATGGGAAACTACAGAGCCACTGGGGTGGAGCACGAAAGGATTTTTGAGATAAGAATATGCCTATATGTTAATCGGGAATGTGAACTATCATCATGCCAAATTTCAGCCCAATCCGTCCAGTAGTTAATGCGTGATTGAACTTCAAACAAACACACAAACTTTCACATTTATAATATTAGTAAGATTTCTGTAGTTTTAAAATAATTTATGTATAATACCGGTACTTGACAATTGCTCGATTTCGAGCAACAGGTACGGTATACTAGAGTCGGGACCACGTAAGTTTGCAGTTAGTGGCAGCCAATCACAAGAAAAGGCTAATGCGACGTTGCCACATCGCCCGTTGACAACACTAATTAAAGTATACTAAGCAGTATTTTCAAATCAGCTGGTATTATCAGATTTGGCAGCGCCGCACGGTTCTCATTGGTTCATTCAAAACCATGTGGTAAATAGGCTCCTCCCTGAACTGCAAACTTACGTGGTCCCGACTGTAGTCTCTTATAATAATACGTGAGGGCCGTTTTTTGTGAACACAACTCCTCCCTTATTTGTGGACCAATTTCAACGTTTTAAGGTGTCAAATAATTTGTCTCAATTCGTAGTTTTGCATAAAGTTTTCAGAATTTAAAAACTCTTTCCCTTAAGGGCACGAGACGCTCTCAAAGGTACCATTTTCCCCATAAGAATTACAGTGAAAACAAATTTAAAAACAAAAACAGCTGTATATAAAAAGAAACTCACCAGCTTTTTGAGAGTAAATATTGATGTTTGTAATATTTAGGAGGTTATAGACAAATCTAAACAGTCAATCAATTTTGTTGGAAGAATAGACAATTTCTTGAGTTTAAAGGAGAATATTGAAAACAGGAGGAGGAGACAATTAATTGGAAATCTTATACGTATGAGAAGCGTAGAGGAGAGGCCTGGTCTCATAGTAAGGAATCCATGTACACAATCACTTGGGGAGATGAATCATTTTTGCCAGTTATGTTAAGCAACTTATTTTGGAAGTAAAAAAAAACATGAAGAATATACACATCATGTTGTCACAGTGGTAAAGTAAACCTACCTAAAGTCAGATCAAATAAATACATGCAAGAAATGTTTACTGGTAACAGCTTTAAGTCGGGAAACATTTGTAGAAAACACTAAAAAAATAAGGCCGGGTCCAAAATACGCTAAAATATTTTTACAAGAAGTGTTTATTATTTAAAAGCGCTATTAAATAGCATGAGTATCTCAATTAGTTACATAAGCATTTAGTCGGGCATTTTAAATTCATCGAAAATTATGACTGTTATTTCTGTAGTTTTAAAATTATTTATGTACAATACCGGTATTTGACAATTAGGGTTAGCACCCCAGCATCTGCTGGTGAGCTTCCTGATGATATTATTCCTTGAAGAGGTAAAGTCTCAGCGAGGAATAATATCATCAGGAAGCTCACCAGCAGATGCTGGGGGCCATTCCATATCAAATCATTAAGGGTCACAACCCGACCATCTCAGATTTTTATAAAATTTTCCACGTTTGTTACCCTGACAAATACAAACACAGAACATTTTTTTGTTTATTTTTATCTCTCCCCGTTTATTTATAATTAATTTTTATAATCTTCCAAAATCTGCATTTTTTTACTTGCGGGGTGATTTTGAAAAATTTACAGATTGAGTTCTATTCATGCTAGAGAAGGTAGAAAGGTCTCATTTTATTCCTGATGTTCAGGGCTTTAATTTGATATGCAACATGACTATATTCTAAAAGATTCCATTTTCCAAGAAAGTTTTAAAAAATGTTCCGTACCGTATTTAAAAAATGTTATTTTTAAAATTCTGAAAAAAATGTATGATGCACTTTACACTATTGACCATAAATGCTGTAAGTTTCATTATGGGACGGACATGGGATCACACCTAAACACTACATCTTCAAAGTAATGTTTCTGATTGAGCATTTATTGCGCATTGGCTGCATAATGCCTAGTTCAGAGAAACGTTTGTATCAAGTGGCCCTACTTATAAACAACTAATACTGTTAATACTGTTCAATGAAATGGCGACCATACATAGTAGGTATTTTAAGCCAAGTATGAATGGAGATAATAATAGGCTCTTATTTACCATATGCTGTAAGTTTCATCATAGAATGGCTTTAAGATTACTATGACATAATCTATATCTATAAAAGAGGAACTATGTATGTGTGTGTGTATATATATATGTATATATGTTATGGACTCCAAAACCGGATATTACTTAAATGGAGCTGTCAAACCATAATATGCTAATGTAATTTCATAAGTATATGATTCTTTCAGTTACTTCATTTGTTTATGTTTATGATCTATTATACTGAGTCTGTTCTAATATT